CAGATCGTACTAAAATCAAGCCAGAACGAATATCACTTTTAATTTTGTTAAGCTACTCCGTGAAAATTGATGAGAGAAACCTAGAAAAATCGATAGTCCAGCTTCAAAGTACGTTTTTTAATTATCGACTTCTCTCCTTCATTCTACTACGCGCTATAGCCAAGCTTATCCTGATTAAGAATCTTTTTGGTTTTCTTATTTCAAACTAGCAGAATGGTTGGAATCTCGGACGCTATGAAAAGACACCTTTTTCCAGCGCGAATGTCCAAGCCTTTAGATTATCCGCGCCAATTTTTATTATATTTCTTTAAAAATACTTTTATAATAGCAATATATATATATATACATATGCAGAATGGCGATGAAAAAATTATACAGTTCCCTTGTACAAAAATAGTAAAAAACGTAAAACTGTCATTCTACAACAGAGTATCCTCTTAAATAGTTTTAACGATTTCATACCTATGGGAAATCTATGCAGAAACCTAAATAACAGCCAACATTATCTACTCTTATGTCCGCATTAAACAAAATCTATTTTGCATTTTTCCTTCTGACAACTGCCATTCTATGATTATAACCGTCAATAAATAAATAACAAAGAAGTAGCTTTTCTTAAAAACGCGGTATCTCACGATAGTATTCCAGAGTAAAAAAAAAAGTAAACGGTGGACAAATTCACAAAACGCACATAATATTCAAAAATATGTAAAAAATCCAAAGAAAATAGATAAACAACTAAAAACAGACTTATCTCTAGATTTTATTTCTTTCTTTGCATTCATAAAGATATTCGAAAGTCAAGAGATGTTTCCACACTCATCCGTAGTCGACTTATTATCAAAGATCCGGAGCTGGTTTATTAACCACGTTGCTCTCAAATAGCAAAGCTGCTCCAGATTACGTCAAACATAAAATACATTACCGTTATTATTATACGGCCATTAAAATAACCAGAAATCGCGCACGGGTCTGCAGTCGAGTCCGCGATGAAAATCTGGAGGAAAATCGCGAGGCAACGAACCACGGCGGCGCTAGTCAAAGCGGAAATATTCATGCAGTCGATTCTATCCAATCCTGGCCGACTTGAATACGAAAGAAGGTAAAAGAGCGGCTGGCGTTAAATCTCTCGACAGCGGACATCGGCTTGTACTTTCAGTAACGAGAAAACTACTTCAACCTTGACTAAACCGTTCCACGCGCGATTCACTTAGCGAACGCGTCGCGGAAACCGCAACTATCCGCGTGGAATTCAAACTACCTTGGACGTTTCGCTGGATAGATACTGTAGTTGCCTAAGAATCCACAACGAGTTGTTTTTTTTAGTCGGTTCTAGGGTCTTTTTTATTTGACGAACGCGAGAAAGTTAGGCCACTTGTGAACCACCGCGCCGCTCCGAAAGAAACTTCAAGGAAGTACCTTTTAAGTTAATTTACCGTAACAAAACGACTTTTCGAGTGTTTTTGAAATTCACGTCGCGCGGTTGTTTTACCAGGATCGTGAAACTTTGTACAGTTCCTGTCAGGTTTTTCAGCTTTTGACCGAGAGATTTATGGTACTGTCGGCTAAAACGATCGAGAGACAACCGCAGTACAAAGGTGCAATAGGAACCATTTTTTGATATATCCTACGAATTCATGATTCAATCAATGTTCGTAGTAATAAACTTTTGCACATTCGAATACATTATTGTGTCTTTGATCTTTTACTTTTTTCTCTTTCAGTAAATATAATTTAAATATTGTAGCTGCCTTTTCAATTAGCTGGTACGAATAATTATCTTGCGATCAAAAGGACATAAACGAGGAAATTCTAGAAGTTCGATTCCAATTAATAGTTTGTAATATTACAGATTACATTATAATTCTATAGATACGCGTGTTATTCGTAGAATACTATGGTAATTATCGACTTTAACTTGAAAGTTGGAACAGTTGAGAATTACGGACGAACTTCTGGAAAACACGTTTAGAGCTGGTTTGCCATAATAACACGATTTTTCCAGCGGTTTTGAAATTTACGTCGCGCGTTTCTTTTCCTTGGACCGCAGCACTTTGGACGGATTTCGTGCCAGGTTCGTACCTTTTGACCGTATAAGATTTATAGTACCATCGGTTTATCTACATTGCTACGAACAGTTAGTGGATTACTACCTACTACATATAAAATAATTCTGTTGCAATCAAGCGAACAAAAGTGGACCAATTCTATAAGTTTGATAGTTTTATACGTATAGCACTGTGATAACGAATGCGTTGCGTAATTAATTTTTCCAATTTTTGAAGATATTAATATTTTAATATTTGTAATATTTAATATTTTTTAACTGCTCCGACTTTGCATTAAAAATTTCTTTGTCGATCTGGAAACCAATAGAAAAAATCAATTATGCTAATAAATGAATCAAAGCCGTAGCCTGTAACGAAATCCACAATAACGGTCAAGTATAATAAATATAACGTCAAATATTACAAAGTAAAGCATGAAATAACTATTGAAACAAAACAAAAAATAAAATGCAGAAACTCGCGGAATAAATATAAAAATCAAAGTGACACAGGAAACGAACCTCTAATTGTTTCGAATAGCCTATTTTTTTTTTATCTTTTTACCCTATTTTTCATTTTAACGAGAACGTCGCGTGCAAGTGTATATTGCGTTTCAGAACAGTTCGTGACTATGTCATATAGCGTAATTAGACAAACTACGAGACACATTCGAACGCCTCCACTCGGTCAATAAAAAAACCTGATACGTATTAACCTCAAAATGAACCGGCACGGTGGCCAATATAACACGATCATCTCGGGGGACGCGACGAGAAAAGCCTATGGTGTCGCACGACGGATTTCTTGTCGTCGGCTGACCGTTCTCTCGGATCCTGTATCGCTCTCTTTTTCAGCGAACCGACCATCCTTCTTTCTCCCGTTGTCCTATCCTACGCCTCCTTCATAGGCTTTACACGATGGGAACCGGTATGACCGGAACGAACAGGCAGAATTCTTTCTATGACTGTCAAAACAAGTCTGTCCGCTGATTTAACGAACTCGCATCATCCGCTCTAATCGATCATACGCGATCTTTACGTACCTGCATTTCGTCGAACGTTCGAATGCTGTGTCAGTTTCGACCGAAGATCTACCGAAAATTCACGAACATCTACGAATCAACTGTACGAGAAATTACTAGACATTCATATTCCTATTCGTATCCTAGATGTAATCTAGGATATTTCGTGACACGGTCACGTTTTTCTAAAATGGTTCGTAATTTTTGGACTGCAGATGTTTACGTATTTATAGAAAATTTAAACATGCAAAAGTGCAGAGAACGTGTCTGTAATGTAAAGTTATATTTAAAATATAGACATATATTTAAGATAGAGTAATTGTCATGGTATTTAGTAAGTAAAGCAAATCTCTGCTGAAGTTTCATTTCTCGAATTATATAAAGATACGAATTTGCATAAGTATCTAGTAATTTTAGTAAAAATAGTTGTAGCTGCTTCTCCATAACCTAATCGGATGAAAGTTTCCACGTTTGACATGTATACGTGACCACGACCGCGACCGCGACCACGGTCACCCTCATAAAGCACAAAAATACCAGAAGTTCGTGGAACACTACGCGCAAATCCAAACAATATTCGCAATTACGCGAGATTATTACATCCCAAAGACATAACCAAAGACAGTTACATCGAATTAATATTTTCTATAACGTAAAAGTGATATTACAAAGAATCGAATAAACGCGCCATTCGGATATAAACACGTGTCAAAACATGTCGCCATTTTTTACACTTTTTGCGTAGTAAATCCCGCGTCCTTCACTAGTAATCCGAAACTGCGTTGCGTATGAACAATCTGTTTTGAATAGAATAATAAACGTGGACTTACCGAGTGCGTCCTCGAGACGACCGCGTGCCAGCAAAAAATAAACACGAAGCGAAGATGCACTGCAAGTTTGTACAGCTTCCCGCGTGCTATGATCAAACGAAGTTGCGTAACGCGACAACTTGTTCGCACAATGCGTTGAAATACGAAAGAACACTTGATTTATCGCGTGGACACGCCAGGTAACACTGATACGTTGGCACAAAATGACGCGCGGTACGAGCAAAGACAATCCATTTGTTTTGATGAGAAGATGCGAAACGAAGTGAACTCGCACGAAGGTTAGAAAAGAGAAGCGCAACAATCACCTTCCACTACGACGGCTGGAGCGCGACTGACTGGCCGTGCCGGCTAGCTTACCGCTACGCTACGCACACGGCCTCGAGTTTCGAATTACGCGCGGCTTAACGACTCTACATTCTGCATCTGTCAGTCTTACCGCTCCGAGATGAATACATGGTTATTACGTGGTCATTTTGGAACTGACGTTTTACGCATGAAATACTGTAGCTCACAAAAGTATTCAAACACTTAATTTTTATATACATTATAATCTTGTCCTAGCTCTCTCTAGGTATTAAAACGCATTCTGACTTTGTACAATATACGATAGATCGCGGGTTTTTACGCATTTATGACAAATTTGAGGATGCAAAAACGCACAGAATGTATATGATATGCAAAAACATAGAAATAAATCCAGAATTTAGTATTCATTGTATTATTTAGTGAAGCAATTATCTACCTAGGTTTCATTTTTTATCTGAATTTAAAAGCTGGTTGAAGCAACGATCGGCAAACGCAATGAACAAACGAGAAATATTTGATAACCTTTTAGCGATCTTCAACATACATGTATAATTTATACCAAACACCTTATTAAATATTGTGGTCAATATAGCAAATAATTGACTGTTGAAATACTGTAGTGACCTCTGCGAAATGTATGTTTCCGATAATAAGTAATATCTTATAAGGATTTTATCAACGTATCTAACCGCGGTTGTCGTCGTGTTTCATTATAAGGCTAATGAAATTTTTAAATATTTTACATAACACATACAGTGTATACATGAAAGCTTTCTATGATAAATGTTCAAACACTTTTTTCGAATGAAACATTATCAGTTTTATTTTCCTTTCCCTCGAGCGAGATGAGATTTTTCCCGTTAAGCGACCAGAGGCATATTTACAGTAAAATGACCGTCTACTTAGTTACGCTTAGAATTATCGTGATTTTATCCATGATTAATCGCGTTGTTTGCAAATATAAACTGGAAATAATTATGATTTGCTTGTCAAATATATTAAACGTTTCAGTTGCTATGCTGCCATTAAATTGCGATACGGTTGGCGATAGTAATTTACGTTGATAGCCTGAAGAACGATTGCGCTGACAATAGAGATGGCAGAGACGGTGAAAACCGTTCAAAGTAAGACTAACCCACGTAAATTCCATTACGTAGAAAGGTCTATTGTTTCCGTGTTAACTGCGCACGCGTAGAGAAACAAAGCGACAAAGGGATTAACAGAACACATGGAATTACACCGAGGCAACATAAACAAATGATGCCTATCAACCATGTGGCGCGGTAGTAAACTAACTCCTAAATAAGGTACGCGAACGTGAAAATCAGAGCTTGCAGTCTTTGAGTATTAATTAAAGATGACGTGGCTGGAATCGTACGGCTTAATGAAATTACTGGAAGTAATGAAAACTCAAATTAATCGGAGAAGGGTATTTATATAGTGATAAGATTCCAGATGCTGGTCGCAGAAAAAAAAAACTTTTTATTACGAAATCCAATCATTTCGTGCAAGGAAGCGTTGATAACGTCTGCATCGATATACGATAGAACGCGTCGTAAATTATTTACATAAAAATTGTTGTGGTAGCGTATAACTACGTGTTTATTTCGTGTTACGTCTCGTTCGATTTCAGTCGATAGAAAAATCCGTATGACGGCTGACGAACGCTTATGATCATACGAATACAACAGAGCCTTCTTTAGAACAACAACACGGCTTATAATTTCCTCCTATGATTAGGTAAAACAAGCGGAAAAATTGCCCAGGCACCCCGTCATGATTCTCGATTTACTTTGAACAACAAGGTGTCGCAAAATCCACGAAGGAACGAAGGAAAACGCGTCAACGACAAACGTCTCTTTTTCTATCTCGCCCCCTCCCCCCATTTATATGTATGTATCTTCTTTCGCTTCGTTTCGCTCGCATTTCTCGAGATACGCAATAACGTATGCCATGACGTTGAAGCTGACGCGTGTACGGGACGAAAACAATGGTTACGATAACGATGATGATGACGGTGATGACAACGATGACAAGCAACGCATGAACCATAACGACGAGTATGATACGACTCGACGTATCTGTATATCCGTACTCTATGCTTATCCGTGTACGTTTTATGCAAATTCTGACGATGTGACGAGTGGAAATCATATAGCGAGGTGACCCTTCGTCCGTTTCAACTTCGACGAAGTTACGATGCCGGTGCTGTAAATAAAATAAAAATAAGATTATTTTTGTAGGAAAGGGAAATTATATTCACCTGCGTTAGCTCCTCCCGCGAATTCGGGAGGATTCAATTACAAAGAAATTATATTAATCTATTTTTTTAGTCTTTTTAGCTAATCGTTATTTTTTGTAAGAGGAGCTTGCTCGTCCCTTCTCATTTTCGTCGAAGTTTCGACGATTCGTAGCAAAAGTTCTATTCGTTATTATTATTTTATTATAATCTACCGATGCTAATGAATCGATTATTGTTACTATTGTTTTATCACTTTCCATTGAACAAAAGTTACAGAAACTTCGAGAGCAGAAGTATAATTAAACGGTCGAAGTGCGGTCGTCGTGAAACGTACAGTAAAGATGCGAAAGCTTGGTCGTTAGAAAGTTAACGAGTGTCGGTTCTAGTTCTCGTCGATGAATGTCACCGTGAGCAACGGTGGTACACCTGGTACGCGATCGATGATACTATTAGTTGACTATCTCTGTAAACGTTACTTGTGACTGATGACTAGATTTTTAGTCCTCTACTAGAACCACAAATTTTTACAGCTTAACATACCGTACGTGATGAACTTCGAACCAGTTATCGGGCGATTGGGAGTGATGTTCATTGTAACTTTCAAAAGTAAAACTACCTTAGCTAGAAAATTAAGTTGAAAAGAAAACAACGTTAAGAAAATTAACGATAACGGGAGAAAAGAAAAAAAAAAGAGAAAGAAGAAGAAGAATAATGAACGGTCGAAATGAGCACGTTGCCTTTCCATTTCTTTTGAGAACGACGTGGAATACGTTTCGTGAGTGAAAAGAGCAAAGATTAATTAAAAAATGGAAAGCGGAAATAGCCCAGTTTCTCTATGATAAATGGCGAGAACAGATGATTAATCCTGCAATGAACAATACGTAATCGTATCAGCTAGAGTAATAAAAGAAGTAGATTACCTTCAGCGGGCGCGGGTGCCGGCGCAGCCTCTGCTGGGGGTGCAGCTGGAGCTGGCGCTCCCTCCGCAGGTGCAGCACCTTCGGCTGGTGGGGCTGCTGGTGCTGGTGCTGCTGGGGTTCCTTCCGCTGGCGCAGGTGCACCTTTAAAAATTCACGTTAGTTTCTTACCAAGTTTTTGTCACAGACACTTAGGGTTAATGAAATTAACTCTTCGACAAGATGTAAATTCAGGTTGCCAGATTTATAAAATAACTAGGTACATATCTTTGTGATATGTACTTAAGATTCCTTAGATTTCTGGTATTGGATAGAAAAAAGTATATAATTACAACTTTTTCTACGAAATAAATATTGATAATTCCGTTATGTATGATAACTTTTAAGATATGAAACGTATGGCACAGTAAAACATCGACTATCAGATAACTGATTAATTACACGGTCGATTATGAGCATCGATTAACAAAAAAGATTTGGGGTTGGTTCTTTGTACGATTGGGAAACAAGGATACAAACTCAAAACAAGCGTTACCTCTGTGTTGAAAGATTTCTATTTAATATTAACGTTTATAAAATGCTTTATAACGTTTATAAAACGTTTATAAAATGCTTTATAACGTTTATAAAACGTTTATAAAATAACGAAAAGTATAAGGAAAAGGGATGGAAACGTGCACAAAACAAAGACCATATGCAAAAATAGGACAATCAAAATATACCAATTGGTACAAGTGCATTCTAACAGCAAAACCGCCAGAATATCTAGGGAAAGAGGAAAAAGGGCAAAAGTTAATAGCACGAGCGAGATGCGGAAATTTGGAAAATTGCAACAGGTACTAGAAAGAGGAGAATGGAAGAAGTTGTGATCTATGAGGGAATAGATTCCTCAACCTCGAATATTTAACAATGAACTGCAGTGGGAATTGAAAAAGATGTCAGGTTGGAAGACGTAATGAGCGGACAAGATAGGAGGATTGTGGAACGTCCCGAGAAACTGCAAAAAAAAAGAAAAGAAAAAGACAAGGTACAAGCAGACCAGAGAGAGTTTTAATAACTGGGAAAGATGCAATAGGTAGGACAATTATTAGTCAGAATAAGTCGGAGTGTGAATGGAAGAGAGAGAGAGAGAGAGAGAGAGTGAATGGACAAGTAGATTTATAAGTATAGGTATTCGTGAACCAATTCCAATTCCTGGTTGTGGTACATATATGAAATGGTTCAAAGTCGTCATAAATGGTATGACAAGATCACCTTCTGCCGGTGGTGCCGCAGGCGCGCCTTCCGCTGGTGGCGCACCTTCCGCTGGCGGTGCTCCTTCCGCTGGTGGTGCTCCTTCCGCTGGTGGTGCAGGAGCTGCACCCTCAGCAGGAGGTGCACCCTCGGCAGGAGGTGCACCCTCGGCAGGAGGTGCACCTTCAGCAGGAGGTGCG